AAAATGGGAGACAAAAAATTATTTATTTAATTTACATTTACACGTTTGGGTAGTTGGTTTGGTTTTTTAAGCTTGTTTTCCTGTCTGTTAAACCACGTGTTGTCTTGTACGTTAAAACTAATGATGGCTTACTGCGTGTGGTTTAATGGAAGTAATTAAGTACGCTTTAATAATTCCGTTGATTAATTTTTATTTATTTATTGATTTTTGGAACTGGCTATTGCTACATGATAATGTTTGTCTTCTTTAGCAAAGTTGATTTCAGTCATTGAATCACTTTTATTTTCGCTTGTAGTGGTTGGTATTATTTTAAATGTGGTCGCTGACTGACTAAAGTACATACTTTAGTGGTCGGGTGTATACGTAGACACATACGCACAGCCCAATGTGGTTGACCACTCGAATCTACAGCTCTAGGTGGTTGATTACTCGAATGTAAAGCTCGATGTGGTTGACCACTCGAATCTACAGCCCAATGTGGTTGTCCACTCGAATGTAAAGCTCGATGTGGTTGACCACTCGAATATACAGCTCAATGTGGTTGACCACTCGAATCTACAGCCCAATGTGGTTGTCCACTCGAATGTAAAGCTCGATGTGGTTGACCACTCGAATCTACAGCCCAATGTGGTTGTCCACTCGAATGTAAAGCTCGATGTGGTTGACCACTCGAATCTACAGCCCAATGTGGCTGACCACTCGAATCTACAGCCCAATGTGGCTGACCACTCGAATCTACAGCCAATGTGTTTGACCATTCGAATGTATAGCCCAATATGGTTGACCACTCGAATGTACAGCTATATGTGGTTGACCACTCGAATCTATAGCTCAATGTGGTTGACCACTCGAATCTATAGCTCAATGTGGTTGATCACTCGAATCTAAAGCTCAATGTGGTTGACCACTCGAATATAGGCATACAGCTCTAGTTGATTGACCAGTCGAATGTACAGCCCTATGTGATGACCATTGTTACATCAAGCCCTACAGTACCTTGTGGTTTATTATATCAGCAACAGTTTTGTCTGTTCCATAAAACCTAAGGGACGTTTGTGGACCTACCGGACGTCCGCTTATGACCAAGAAAAACAAACGAGTGAGATATATCAAGTGAGCGAGCCCGGCCAGTCATTGAGGCCAGCTCAGGTCGTGCCCGTCCAAATGTCGGCCATTCCACCAACCACGTTAGCTTGCCGTAAACTCTATTTAGTCGCGGTTAATCCAATCTTCGGCTGTTGTTTTTTCCTCCCCGACCCCCGGGAGTTTTCTAATGACTTCCAAATGAATTTCGTGGGGTGCTCCGTGGTGCGACAGGGAGACTTGGACATTCTCCCTCCCCCCACCCCTCCACCTCCACACCCACCCCCCTCCTCATCCTAAACCTTAGCGTCAGTGACAAAAAAAATTATTTCATGTCCACGAGAATGCGTAATGAGCAATAGAAATAGCCATTACATTAGCTATTATTTAGCTAGACTTGCAGCACACAGCTATTATTTAGCTAGACTTGCAGCACACTGCTATTATTTAGCTAGACTTGCAGCACACTGCTATTATTTAGCTAGACTTGCAGCACACTGCTATTATTTAGCTAGACTTGCAGCATACAGCTATTCTTTAACTAGACTTGTAGCATACAGCTATTATTTAGCTAGACTTGCAGCATACAGCTATTCTTTAACTAGACTTGTAGCATACAGCTATTATTTAGCTAGACTTGCAGCACACTGCTATTATTTAGCTAGACTTGCAGCACACTGCTATTATTTAGCTAGACTTGCAGCACACTGCTATTATTTAGCTAGACTTGCAGCATACAGCTATTATTTAGTTAGCCATGTAACATACAGCTATTATTTAGCTAAACGTGTAGCATTATTTTAGCTAGACTTGTAGCATACGGCTATTATGTTAGCTAAACTTGTAACTGTCTTTAGGGCTCCAATAGTTTTATTCTATTTGAGATTGAGAGATTAACAATAAAAAAAACTTTCGATATTAGCTGTGTTCGTTTTAACAAGAACATTACTTTAAGCTATTTGTCAAGTTCATCTGGACACCTTTCCATTATTGACACCATTCCCTGCAGTGACACCATTCCCTACAGTGACACCTTTCCATTATTGACACCATTCCCTGCAGTGACACCATTCCCTACACTGACACCATTCCCTGCATTGACACCATTCCCTGCAGTGACACCATTCCCTGCAGTGACACCATTCCCTGCAGTGACACCATTCCCTACAGTGACACCATTCCCTGCAGTGACACCATTCCCTGCATTGACACCATTCCCTGCAGTCTTCCAACCGTTGAGACACGTGAACCCAGCGCGCAGTTTTCACGTGAGTTCTGTCAGACCAAGTTTCTCCCCACGCGCCGAGTGAGTTCCCCTCGCACGCGCGGTGCTAGAGCTGTCTGCTCACAGTGTGACAGGGTGCTCTGGATGTACTTCATGCTCGGGGTGTGTTCCATCTACTCAGGTACTTATCTCTGTGTGATAACTCTGTGGTCCTTGTGTGGTCCTTGTGTGGTCATTGTGTGGTGGTCCTGGTGTGGTCCTTGTGTGGTGGTCCTTGTGTGGTGGTCCTTGTGTGGTCCTTGTGTGGTCCTGGTGTGGTCCTTGTGTGGTGGTCCTTGTGTGGTGGTCCTTGTGTGGTGGTCCTTGTGTGGTGGTCCTTGTGTGGTTGTCCTTGTGTGGTGGTCCTTGTGTGGTGGTCCTTGTGTGGTGGTCCTTGTGTGGTGGTCCTTGATGACGCTATGTTATCCCTTGTCACGGTGCGGTCATTATGTTTTTCCGCTATTTTGTGTACATTTATTCCTGAAAGGTCAATTGTCCGATTATTGTGTGGTCATACTGTGGATTAATGTGGGTCCAGTGATCCGGTCACTCTATAGTCCGGTCACTTTATGGTCCGGTCACTCTATGGTCCGGTTACTTTCTAGTCCGGTCACTCTGTAGCCGGTCACTCTATTATCCGGTCACTTTATGGTCCGGTTACTCTATGATCCGGTCCCTCTATGATCCGGTCACTCTATGATCCGGATACTCTATGATCCGGTCACTCTATGATCCGGTCACTCTATAGTCCGGTTACTCTATGATCCGGTCACTCTATGATCCGGTCACTCTATGATCCGGTCACTCTATGATCCGGTCACTCTATTATCCGGTCACTTTGTAGCCGGTCACTCTATGGTCCGGTCACTCTATGGTCCGGTTACTTTCTGGTCCGGTCACCCTGTAGCCGGTCACTCTATGATCCGGTCACTCTATGGTCCGGTCACTCTATGGTCCGGTTACTTTCTGGTCCGGTCACCCTGTAGCCGGTCACTCTATGATCCGGTCACTCTATGGTCCGGTTACTTTCTGGTCCGGTCACCCTGTAGCCGGTCACTCTATGATCCGGTCACTCTATTATCCGGTCACTCTATAGTCCGGTCACTCTATGATCCGGCACTAAGTAGTCTTTGGTACAATCAATCAATCAATTTTACTAATTTTTCGCTATTCAATGAGCAAGTAATGTTCGAAGACTCACATTTCGGTTCTACTGCATTGGTCTATGACGACCATCCTGACTTCCGTTCTATTGTATATCTCGACTCTTGCTTTTAGGATCACTATCAGATAGACGGAGAATTGTGGGGTCGACAGCAAACATAGAGGAAGTACAGGGTGGGATTAGTAGCAGTGATTGTGTCAAGTTTGTGTCAAGTTTGTGTCAAGTTTGTGTCACATTTGTGTCAAGTTTGTGTCAAGTTTGTGTCGTTTGTGTCAAGTTTGTGTTAAATTTGTGTCAAGTTTGTGTCAAGTTTGTGTCGATTATTTTACTTATATTTGTACGTGTGTTTGTATGCAAGGTTCAACGACCGATTCAAGACGTGTAATCGATGATTTAAATGTTAAAATTCCGTCGTTAGCAATCAGCAAGTCAAAACGTTCTCAGATGCAAGTCTTTTTGTGACCGACAGGCTATTGATATTTAGCTCTTGTCGTCTAGTTGTATATGTGGTGATATGGTTATATAGTGATGTACTGATCTAGTAATACAGTGATATGGTGATGCATTAATCTAGTTATATATAGATATATTGATCCAGTGATACATTGATCTAGTGATATATATATATATATATATATATATATATATATATATATATATATATATATATATATATATATATATAGTGATAAATTGATCTAATGATATATTGATCTAGTGATATATTGATCTAGTGATATATTGATCAAGTAATATATATATATATATATATATATATATATATATATATATATATATATATATATATATATATATATATATATATATATATATATATATATATATATAGTGATATGTTGATCTAGTGGTATATGGATCAAAGTGATATATTGATATAGTGATATATATTGATCTGGTGATATATTGATCTAAAGATATATTGATATAGTGATATATTGATCTAGAGATATATTGAAAGTGATATATTGATCTAGTGATATATTAATCTAGTGATATAACGATCTATTGATGATCCAAAAATATATAACTTCGAGCTTTGTCTGTCCTTTCGCCTGTCCGTCTGTCCGTCTGTCCGTCATTCCGTCCATCGGACTTTCCTATTGATCTAGTAATATATTGATCTAGTGATATATTTATCTAGTGATATATTTATCTAGTGATATTAGTCTAGTGATATACTGATCTAGTGATGAACCAAAAATATATAACTGCGAGCTTTTTCTGTCCTCTCGTCCGTCTGTCCGTCCGTCATTCCGTCCATCGGTCCTTCCGTCCGTCTGTCTGTCTTTCTGTCTGTCTGAGACGTGCCAGGATTCATACCCCCCCCCCCCACTTTTCCTCCTTTCTCCTCCCACCCCCCTCACGTGATTCCACGCTTAAATAGTTCACAACAAACATGGAACTGTTGTCTTTCATGGACATACTACATACGATGCTAGACCAATGTCTGACATACATGCTAGACCAATGTCTGACAGATATGCTGATAGACCAATGTCTGACAGATATGCTGCTGGACCAATGTCTGACAGATATGCTGATAGACCAATGTCTGACAAATACGATGCTAGACCAATGTCTGACAGATATGCTGATAGACCAATGTCTGACAGATATGCTGCTGGACCAATTTCTGACAGATATGCTGATAGACCAATGTCTGACAGATATGCTGATAGACCAATGTCTGACAGATATGCTGATAGACCAATGTCTGACAGATATGCTGATAGACCAATGTCTGACAAATACGATGCTGGACCAATGTCTGACAGATATGCTGATAGACCAATGTCTGACAGATATGCTGCTGGACCAATTTCTGACAGATATGCTGATAGACCAATGTCTGACAGATATGCTGCTAGACCAATGTCTGACAGATATGCTGCTAGACCAATGTCTGACTGATATGCTGGACCAATGTCTGACAGATATGCTGGACCAATGTCTGACAGATATGCTGGACCAATGTCTGACTGATATGCTGCTAGACCAATGTCTGACAGATATGCTGGACCAATGTCTGACAGATATGCTAGACCAATGTCTGACAGATTAGCTGCTAGACCAATGTCTGACAGATATGCTGGACAATTGTCTGACTGATATGCTGGACCAATGTCTGACAAATACGATGCTAGACCAATGTCTGACAGATATGTTGGACCAATGTCTGACAGATATGCTGGACCAATGTCTGACATATATGCTGCACCAAAATGTCTGACAGATGTGCTAGACCAATGTCTGACTGATATGATGGACCAATGTCTGACATATATGCTGCACCAAAATGTCTGACAGATGTGCTAGACCAATGTCTGACTGATATGATGGACCAATGTCTGACATATATGCTGCACCAAAATGTCTGACAGATGTGCTAGATCAATGTCTGACTGATATGATGGACCAATGTCTGACATATATGCTGCACCAATGTCTGACAGATATGCTGCACCAATGTCTGACAGATATGCTGGACCAATGTCTGACAGATATGCTGGACCAATGTCTGACTGATATGATGGACCAATGTCTGACATATATGCTGCACCAATGTCTGACAGATATGCTGCACCAATGTCTGACAGATATGCTGGACCAATGTCTGACAGATATGCTGGACCAATGTCTGACTGATATGATGGACCAATGTCTGACATATATGCTGCACCAATGTCTGACAGATATGCTGCACCAATGTCTGACAGATATGCTGGACCAATGTCTGACAGATATGCTGGACCAATGTCTGACAGATATGCTGGACCAAAATGTCTGACAGATATGCTAGACCAATGTCTGACAGATATGCTGGACCAATGTCTGACAGATATGCTGGACCAATGTCTGACAGATATGCTGGACCAAAATGTCTGACAGATATGCTAGACCAATGTCTGACAGATATGCTAGACCAATGTCTGACAGATATGCTGGACCAATGTCTGACAGATATGCTACACCAATGTTTTACAGCTCATGTTGAGTTTCTGTAGCAACCAATCGAAACACTGCATTTCCCCCCAACCAATGGCAGGCCGTATTTCCATATTTTCACGTGCCCGCTCAGGCGAGGAGAACACGACAGCTGTTTAGGAGATGCAAATAGCCGGCTATTGCCGGACGTAAGGAGATTTTAGCCGGCTATTTGTTAGGTCAGTCTCCTTTGAACGCGTCACCTACTGTCCATCCCTACTGTGTACCCTGTAACAAGACGAAATAAGTCTAATTTGTGTAATCAGATTTTTAATTAATTAAACAGTAAACCATCATGTTGGGTAATGTAAAAATAAAACATATGTTCCTGTAATGTCCTTTAAACGATACCTACTCCTGTTAAATGTCCTGTAAAAGATACCTACTCCTGTTAAATGTCCTTTAAACGATACCTACTCCTGTTAAATGTCCTGTAAAAGATACCTACTCCTGTTAAATGTCCTATAAAATATACCTACTCCTGTTAAATGTCCTATAAAAGATACCTACTCCTGTTAAATGTCCTATAAAAGATACCTACTCCTGTTAAATGTCCTATAAAAGATACCTACTCCTGTTAAATGTCCTATAAAAATACCTACTCCTGTTAAATGTCCTATAAAAGATACCTACTCCTGTTAAATGTCCTATAAAAGATACCTACTCCTGTTAAATGTCCTATAAAAGATACCTACTCCTGTTAAAGGTCCTATAAAAGATACCTATCCTGTTAAATGTCCTCCATATCTCCCATATGTCCCAAAGTTCTGTAGTCCTGCTGGTAGATGTATCTCCCTTGTACAGCCCTTGCTGGTATTTTTGTTGTAATTATAGCAAAACGTAGTTTCGCAGGTTTTAGCCTCCCTCCCCCTCCCCACATATTTGCCATCAATCCCCGGCCCCTGTGCCGTGTTTTGAAATACTAATCATAGGCAAGTGTTGGGGTTGTTGCCTGCAATCACTCGAGTTTCTTCCCTTTACCTGGTTCTGTGCAGGGGGTGGGTAGACGGGGAGATAACTCGCCTTTAACAACAGGTACAAATTACGGTTTTCGTTCAAGTGGAAAATTCCGAAGTAAAAATATAGGCTTTATTTTTTTCAGCTCTTGAAGTGTTAACTAAATTAGTTTGTTCTAATCAATTGACGTCCTTGAACTTATATATTTTTTAAAGTAATGAATAGCTATCTTGTTATAGGAAAACGAGTATAAGAATGTCTGATGGCGTGAAGGAAATTAGCTGTGTAGCTAGCATCCAGCTAGCCGAGATTGACAATCTGCCATTTAGAAACAAATTACCGACCTATTTATAATTATTGTCTACAAAACCGAACTTTCGAAACCAAACGGCGATAGAGATCGGTAATTCCCGATGCTATTTTCGTATTTCGATCGCGCAGCCCAAGTTGTTTGCATTCTCGATCTAGTAGCTGCAACTTGTTTCACATCAATTATGCCGGGACACACATCATTGCTTGTACATTCATGATGTGTCCGACACATCATTGCTTGTACATTCATGATGTAGTCAGGACACATCACTGCTTGTACATTCATGATGTGGTCAGGACACATTCTTGCGTGTACATTCATGATGTGGTTGGCACATCCTGGCTTGTACATTCATGATGTGGTCAGGACACATCCTTTCAGATATTTGCGGTTGATCTTTGATTTTTCAGTAAAGACAATGTTTTGTGGGTGTGTGAGAGAGGGTGTTGGTGTGTGAGAGAGAGGGTGTGGGTGTGAGAGAGAGAGAGGGTGTGGGTGTGAGAGAGAGAGGGTGTGGGTGTGTGAGAGAGAGGGTGTGGGTGAGAGAGAGAGAGAGGGTGTGGGTGTGTGAGAGAGAGGGTGTGGGTGGGTGAGAGAGAGGGTGTGGGTGTGTGAGAGAGAGGGTGTGGGTGTGTGAGAGAGAGGGTGTGAAGTTATGAGTGGTGGTGAGGGAGAGAGTTAGGGAGTTGATATGAGAGAGAAGACATGGGGGAGTGGGAGGTCTGGCTAAAAATGTAATGGCGTGTAACTGCTCAGTTAGGGTAGTCTCTGATAAGTTCAGGGTGATGATTGGGGGATTGTTGGGTGATGATTGGAGGGATTGTAGGGTGATGATTGGAGAGATTGTTGGGTGGTGATTGGGGGATCGTTGGGGTGATGATTGGAGGGATTGTTGGGGTATGATTGGAGGGATTGTTGGGGGTATGATTGGTGGATTGTTGGGTGATGATTGGAGGGATTGTTGGGGTATGATTGGAGGGGTTGTGGGGTGGTGATTGAGGGATTGTTGGAAGGATTATATCAGATTTTTATGATTAGACGAATATCCGAATGAACCTACCGGCTGTGTATATGTAATGTAGCCTACAAACACTGAAATAATCACTGTCAGACTAGCATAGTGTATAGCTAGAATCATGTATCCTTTAAGTCTTAGTTGTTTTTTTTTAAAATCATTCTGGAATTGAGTGTAGAGGAAGTATTGTAATCCAGCTTTTTAAACGACAAAATCGACCATATCGGTTTTGTTTATCTGCCTGTCTGTGCCCTTTAAAATCGTGTTTGAATTAAACATGTCATTTGTGCAGATCAAATATATTTGTATTATTGTTTGATACTTACATTATCGAAATCGTACGTTTTTCAAAATAGATTTAAAGAGGAGCAGATTTCCTCACAAATTACAACTATAAATGACTGAATCAGCGTTCTGAACCTATAAACTAATCAGAGTTTCTTCCAGGCATCTCTTCGGGGGTTCGCCCCCCCCCCCCCCCCCCCGAAAAATTTCTACCCCCCCCCCCCCCCCGAACTAAATGAAATTTATATAATTTATATGAAAATATATACTTTTAACAGTGTCCGCCCCCTCGAAGAAAATCTACCCCCCCCCCCCCCCCCCCCGAAAATTTCAAGTGCCCCCCCCCGGAGAAAAAAGTCTGAAAGAAACATTGAAACTAATATTACTGCATTGTTTTTCAAAGTTTACATTTTATTATGCGATTTCGTCACACTGTCTTATAGAATTATGTTGTTCAAATAAACATTAGGTGTCTATTTAGCATTTGGAGTATTATAATGTTATAATGTGTCATACAACGGTATGAAGATTGTCTTATAACATAATCTGTTATACTGTTATAACATAACCTGTTATATCATGTTATGTCTGTTGTATTTTGAATATACTTTGGTTAATAGGTTCGATCTTCTTATGACAAGAAAAGACGTTGGATCAGTTGTGTGTATTTGATTTGTTTAACCAAACCAGATATACGTAATCGATTATTTCTTAGGCGCGACTTTTCTGGGTGGGTTTTAAGTGGCTTCTGCGGGATGGAAATAATGGGGTGGTTTTTGTGTGGTTTCTGTGTGTGGGAAAGGATGTGTTGTATATGGGAGTGTGAGGGTTGTGTGGGTGTGTTGTATGTGTGGTTGTGCGGTTTTGTGTGATATGTGTGGGTATGTGGGTTCGTGTGATATCTGTGGGTGT